CATATTCATTTAATATTAAATAATGATAAGGTAAGAAGGTAGTACAAGTGATACAAATCCCATCTCATACTCATGATGTCTGACCCTCGGGCGTCACATTTTCCCTTTAAACATCTTCTTCTCAATAACCTAGGGTCCTGGCCTAGAGACCTAGCTAGCTGGTATTGGGCCTGTAGCGTGCTGGGATGAGGGGCTATCAAGTTTGTTCAAATGAGTGACCTTGCCGGACTTTTCCAGGCCACAAGGGTTAAATGAGGTTAAATGTTTAAACGACTTATTTTCAATAACCAAGGGGCACAGATACCTGATATTGTGCCTGTGGCATGCTTGAATGAATTATCTTGCCTGCCTTTCAAGGTCACATAGGTCAAATGTGATAAAATCTTAAAACAACTTCTCAATAACTAAGAGGACCATGCTATTAAACCTACAGCATGCCTGGATGGAAAGGCTACGAAATGTGTTCAAATGAATGACATTGACCGACTATCAAGGTCACAGGGGTCATGTAAATGTAAATTTCACTGATTGCCAAGCGACTGCATTCTTAAATGGACAATACTTTTTCGTTAAGCAGCTTGTGTCTGGCTGTTGTAGGGATGCCTTTCAGTTTTTGACTTCCTAAGCAAACACAAATACAGTGGGGGGTTTTCTTGTGACTCCTAGTGTATATCCCTGAAACGCGAATTTGTTCAAGATATCGACATCCCAAACACTTTTATACAGTTTCATGAAAAATTCCGTTTAGAAAAGAAGAAGTAGCGAAAGTGATGACAAAGGTCGTAACATATACGTTGGACCAGAACGCTACATCTTCTAGAACTATTGTCGCGAGGGGACAAATAAGATATTACGACTGTGTTCAGGAAATGCAGCATCCCCACCATTATTCAGTGAGAAACTGTGTACTACAAATTGTATCCTCTTTATCAACATTAACTTCTAACGGACATGCACTGATCAAACCAATATCGTTCGACACAAGGAAAAGGAACGACTTTATCGATGAACCACTTCACTGATAAAATCCGTGATACAGTAATCAGACACTCAACAAAGAGGAGATACTTGAAAGTTAGGTAACACTGTGTATCAAAACACGACATAAATATCTTTAATTCAACAGCAACTTAAAAGGAGAGGATTCTAATATGTATCGTCATCAACTGAATATGGCTATAATTTGCATACTTTCATCATCTCAAATTTTTCCCATTTTTTTCAGCAACTGGACGCCTAAACTATTCTCTCATACTAAAGCAAAAAAGATGAATTTAGGCTATAACATTTGGTCAATTCGGTGGAATCTTTAAAATCAAAACCCTTTGTATAAAGAAGACATTAATTAAACATATATAAACTACTATCTATTCCCTTTGTTTCGTTGTTGATGACTATTACTCCATGGCTAATCTTAATATTCAACTGACTCATCCCTCATTTTATTGTTCACTGAATTGTACCAGGAAAACTCCACGCACTCCATCATTTTTCTCTCTATTTAGAACACGTTAGAGAAACTCGTCCGAACGTCATTCTCCTAATATTTAATTTGGGTTTCCCTGTACGAATAGGAAAGATCAACGAAAGGACGTATGACTGTTCACTTACGTTTTGATTCAAGTAATATCATTATTCATTTAAATACCCTAACAAACACCTAAATAATAATATAAGAATTTCAAGTAAGAGATCACAGTTTGTCAAAAGATGTAATCAAAACTCCCCTTTGCTATAGGAAATAGATACATTTTCAGGAAATATATTCCGCAAAACAGTTTGCATGACGTTTCCTATAAAAACAACGCAGTAAAACAAAAGCTGCTGTACTCCATTACATCAAGTCATAAATAATCAACACACTAGAATAATACACGATTCTAAATAAAGACATACAAAGCATTAGGTAAAAAAAAAAAAAAAGCTTTAACTTGGCAGAACAGGCGTGCAATAAATATATCCCAACATGAAAACGTGAATTGTACAGAACGTTATATAATTGATTTCTCATTTACAAATGTGATACATAGTATAGTGTATCGGTAAACATGTCGCTGATAAAAAAATATCAATATGTCCATAAAAATTCAAATTTATCTACAGTGTATTCGTCATAATATAAAGAACATAAAAATCCGAATTTATCTACAATGTATGACGTGATAATATAAACAGCTTTTAATTACATTTTATTCGATTCAACATAGTTTCCTTGGCAAACAAAGTAAGCTACATTTACAAATACAGTTATATAAATATCGGTTATAGCAAACACAGTCACATATCTGTTACACGATAACAATTGATTCCATTTATGACATGACGAAATATAAAGCAAATCAACTGAAATCCATATTTCAATGATATCTGATTACGGCCATTGTATTGATTTGGTATTGATTGTAAAGTAACGCGGCCTATTCCAGATTACAACCTAATTAATTTGCTATAATCATACTTTAAATGTACTTATATAACTCAATATACACTTGATTACTTTTCAACAATTTGCAATTCATTTTCATTTTATGCACGATAATTGGGGAATATCGCTGGTGTTGTGAACTTAGATCATTCAAAACAAAAGAATCAAGCATTTTGTAAGAAAATTGGGGTTTACCAAGACCATCAAGATAGTTAAGGTTTACCAAGACCATTACAGAAATGTTAAACGTCTACCCCTTTCGAAATTGTGAACGCCTTTCCAAATGTTTAACTGTAGTTTAATGTTTCAAAACATGTAGATCTCCGCCGACATGAATGGAAAGAAGTGATTGTGACATCAAAGTTAATGAGACGACATCATTACCATTATTCATTCCTTCGGTCTACACCAATTCGCTTGTACATTGGTAAAAACGCAATTACCGGTCTCGTAATTAAACTCTGATTGAAAAGAACGCTAGTGTTTGAGTGGTGTACGTATATATTAGTGTCTTGTTGAGATCACCCTTAACAGACCCATAATTACTTACGCTAGGACAACTGTACAATTACAACACTTAATTAAGAAGGGAAATCACAAAATAAATATAGTTTTGCAAATTCTCTGAAAATGAGGAAGTGACAAAAGGGGGAGACAACTCAATAACGAACCGTCCATGCAATATAATGGAAATTAATTAGAAAAACATATCAAAAGCCACGAAAATTGGTATAAAGTCTCAAAATGATGACGGTACAGCCAGAATAAGGCCGAAAAATAGAATTCAATAAATATAACCATTTTTTTCAAGGTTTTGCCATTGACGACACTATTTTTTCAAGGTTTTGCCAATGACGACACTATCAAGAAAGTTAATATCACAAATGACAAGATACTGGATGAGAGAGGTTTAGAAGGTATTTTTTTTAAAACTCTTATGCAGACACTTTGACCAAGAATTAGATTAAAAAGATCACAAAACAACATATGTAGGATGCAAAAACACTTTTCAAGAGAAATGGCACTGAGAGGGTTTCCTGTCAGATACAAACTTGTTTGATTGATCAGAAATAAAAAGTCGTTAAAAAAATGGAGAAAAGTCGCAAGGAATCCAGTTGTGGTATACCACAAGGGTGCATGTTAGGACCACTACTCTTTGTACCATTTCACGGATGAAACAAGTTTTTATAGAAGTTGTTAATTAACATGACTCATGACATGATAGAGGTTCTACAGCATTGTGCATTTTCTCACTCAAATGTTCATAAATTGGACGTTTTCATCCAGAAAATGCAAAATGACTTGTGCAGGAAACACTCATATTGATAGAATTAAACTACACTCTGAATACGCTAATACACAATTATTAAAACTGCTGTGCTCTGAAAAGGATGTTGGTGTAACATTGACTTTGGTCATTGGAGCTGGGCAGAGAACAATAGGATATATTAATATAAACAGTTTACAACACATCTTTCATCAGACACCATATATTGGATATGCGAATCAAGTCTTGTGCCTTCACACAGAAAAACCAACAGTACCAACATTAGCATACAAAAAAATCACATGATAGCAAGGTAGAGTTGTATACATAATCGTTTCTAGGAAATATGGACCAGATTTAAGGAATATGTTTTAGACATAAAAGGACCAAACATATGAGATCATAACTTCTAAAATATATAAGAGGTCTTCATAGGTAAATGAGAGAAAATATTTGTTTTGTAGAGAACGGTAAACAATCTGCCATCAAATATAGAAAAAAAAACAATCAAAATTAAAAGGATTTGAGTGTGCACTTGATGAACATCGGAAAAACCTACAACAAAGATATTGTTTCAGACACATAATTCCTTTGTGAGATTTAAAATACTTCATCATAAATAGAAATGACCCGACTCTCAAAGAATTGTAAATCCTGTACATATATATAATGTCAGAACAAATCTATCTATCTGTATATTATATCATTATGCTTGAAGAGGGTAGCTAGGATTAGTTTCTTTATTTCATATCGCAATTAGTGCTTAGGTAGCAGTATACAGTAGAAATGGCCCGACTCTGATAAACAAGGCACCCGTCGAGGAAATGTAAACACAGTGGATTTACCCTACACAACACATGTATACATGTATATATATTTGTAAACTGCATTACACTTACAATACATATAAAGCACTGAGAAGTGTATAAACCTCTTTTTTCTATGTATGTCACTTGTGTGAAAACCATGGTTACCACATCAAAAATTACAAAAAAATGCCAAAAATTGCTATTTTTGACCAAAATTTGACCCCCGCAACTAGTAATTTTTTTCCTAAGTTCTGCCTGAAATAAAAGATTACCTACTTGGTTGCAGAATTATCTGGGTCCCAGTAAGGTTGTACAACTTGATTTTTTGAAATTTTGCGTCATGTGCTGTTGTCAAAATTTTACCTTCTGTAAAGCTAGCTTTTCATGTGTAGGCACTCTTTCGGATTATGGCCAAAATTTTATTCTCGAACCAAAAAAATCTTCTTTTTCAAATGTGAAGCTCACTTCATCATGCTTATACCAATTTAAGTACAGTTTTATTTCCATATTTCTTTTACATATCATTATACAGGGGTTAGCCTTTTAACAAAAATATCACCCATGGCCACAACCCTCTACTGTATACTGCTACCTTACATTTTTGCCAGCAACAAGACGATTAAGTTTGGTTTTTATGTGTTTTACGTCCTATTAACAGCTATGGTCATTTAAGGACAAGCCAGGTTTTTATGGTGGAGAACAACGGGAGAACCCCGAGAAAAACCACTGACCTGCGGCCAGTAGGCCTCAAAGCCATGACCCAGGGGTGGAGGGCTAGTAATCTGTGGAGGGCTAGTAATCGTAGGTCCATTACAGTTGTTTCTATCACTCGATGTGCAATCTCCAGTAGTCCTGCTTATTCACATTTTTGCATTCTAAAACTTTCAACACGATGATAAAATAATTTCAACAAAATAAGGATAAAAAGTAAGAAAAATACCACATGGTTTTGGGATATACCGTCATACTAAAATCCCATCATTAAATCATTTTTCAGTAGAATTCAACTTTTTTTAACTACTTACATGTTTAATTAAAAATATATGAAAAATTAAAAAGTCTTACCGGTACATTTCCTTTAACTAGACAAAAAAAATATCATTATTATACAAGTTTATTAAAAAAAATTAGACTCTCTATCTTGATAACAAATAAATGCTATATATGAAAATATAGATAAATCCACACATTAATGAAATGAAGAATAATGATATTTCAATATTTCAAAACTCCAATCTAATGTTGATAGACATTAAGACTGCAAATTGAAAATGATATTTAACTTGATTATAATCAACATTCTGAGTGTGTAAAATAATTAGATTTTAATTTGTTTTCTTAACATTACCCATATAGAAAACATTAAGAAACAAGTATTAAGTACAGTATGTAAAAGTTGATAAAAATTCAGATGTTAAAATTAGAGTCTAACTACTTCTAAAATTCAATAAAAAACTTCTACCTAAACACTTTAAGGTTCCATTTTACACCTAGTTATTTCAACACTATAAAAGAATTTATTTGATTATTAAACAATCAATACTGCACAATTTAAAAAAAAAAAATCACAATATATTCTCTACTAGATATTTGCTAAGTCATTTTAGAAATTTACTTGAGATAAATTACAATTGAACATTAAAATTCAATACATGTACATATATTATATTTTTAGTAGTAGAGAACCATTTTGTAACACACACTTCAAACTATTTACTAAGAATAACACATTGCCTGGATCATCACAATTTTGAAACTAAATGTTTAATAACTCATTCACCTCTGAAGACACATTTGAACTCTTCCAATTCAAAGGTTGGAGTAGTTCATTATGAAATGTCAAGGGTGAATGAGTTAAAATCGTCTTAATCCAGATTTTTTTTAGCCAAATAAATGGCAGACATTGAACCTTTTCCTGTTGAAGAATGACACTTACTCACTGGGAGTGTCACATATTGAAAAACATAAGCACAGATCTAAAATAAAACCTGTGGCTATTTCAGATAAGAATACATAGGGTAGGAAGGCACTTACAAGTTATGATACTATACAAAGGGAGATCATTCCCTGGTCAAACTTTTGCCCTGGGCCGGTAACATCCATCCTTGCCCAGCATTAACTTTGCACTTCAAATTTAATTACTATATGATGTTAATTAATATTAGCTGTAATTATAAATTCACCCTCATGATAGAGAACCAAAAAGGTGAAATTTAAACTGCGGCAAAATACTCCCAGTATACCGTATATGGGTGGTGGGGGGGTCTATGATATAATTTTTGACATATTCCCACCACCAACACCATCCCCCATCCCCACCAACTCCCTACATTTATTTCTAAAATAGCCCTGCTGAGTATATCAGAAAAAGGTTGAAATATGTATCAATCATAACTAACTTAGCATTGAATCTGACTTATCGTCATAATAAAACATTAATTTGACTACCTTAAAGTAAAAGAAATTTGGTTAAATTAAAAACACTGTCAACAAAATGTCATAGCAATGTAGTATCACTGATGCGTACGTCGAGAATCAGCTCCAAGATCAACCTGTACTCCCGCTGTCTGGGACCTTCACTTGTCCCTCATAATGGCCGAATCATTCCGGATACCATAATCTTGTACAAACTCGGCTGTTTTGTCCAGTTCCTCTGTAACAATTTAAGACAAACAGATTGTCACCAATTTTTTTATATTTTCAAACACGTTCTATTGCAAAAACAATTGAAGGGTTGGGGAACAAGTTCTGACAACTTATACTTACTAGGCCCTCTCCACAGAAGGTGTCACATGTGATATGACAATGTACAGGTTTTACAGAAGACAAGAGGCCCATGGGCCTTAACGGTCACCTGAGTCTACAGTATTTATTTTTGTTGTTGAAATATGTACCAATTTGAGTAAAAAATAGTATAATGTTAACTTAACTTTGTCAGGACCATGAGCTGATCATTCCTAGACCAATTTTAAGTGAGATCGGCCTATTAGAACTTAGTAGCAAAATAGCGGCCATGGCAGCCAAATTGTATTTCTGATTGACCCGAAAAATA